AGGGATTGGGAATTGCAATTATTTCCCATGAACGAGGAATTCCCAGTTTGCGTGTGGCATCATTGTGACGCTGGAGAAGGCCCAGGATGGATATGTCACGAAGGGAGTGGGAGGGGTAGTTAAAATGGTTGGCAACCGGAAGGTGTTGTTGATTATAGCGTACAGAGCGCACATGCTCCACGAATCGGTCACCGAGTCTGTGCTTGGTCTCACCGATGCAGAGACCAGGTTGGAGGAACAACATCTCATATTCCGCCTCAGGATCTTATGGCCCAAGGCCTCAACATAGAATTCACCAATTTCAAAATCTCCCCACCCCCGCTCCATCCCATGTCCTATCCTCCCTCTCTCCCCGGCCTCCTTGACCTGACACAACCTATTCATCATGTTTCCCACCTATCCATCCCACCCTTCCCACTGACCAATCTCCACTATTCCGTACCTGTGTCCACCTATCACCATCCCACCTCCCTTCCCGCAGCCCAATACACCCTCTATTTATTTCCGAGCTCCCTTCCCCCTCCCCAGCCCTGATGTAGGGTGTAAACCCAAAACATCAAACTTTCCTGCTCCTCTGATGCTGCCTGACCTGCTGTGTTCCTCTAGCTCCACACTATATCAACTCTGACTCCAGCATCTGCAGTTCTTGCTATCTAAAGTACATTCACTTTCTTCATCCAAGTCATTAATATGTATTGTAAATAATTGTGGCCTTAGCACCAATCCCTGTGGCATTTCTGTTCTGAGAAAGGGTCACCGGACCTGAAACGTTAACTCTGTTTTTCCCTTCACAGATGCTGCCAGACCTGCTGAGCTTTTCCAGCAACTTCTGTTTATGTTCCTGTGGCATTTCACTAGTTACAGGTTGCCATTGAGTAAGATCACGGCTGATTTGTTTGTGTTTCAAATTTCAGGCTGGTTCAGTTTGGGTACGTCACCAGCCAGCCCAGAGTGAGGGAGTGAAATAATTAGCTTTGGTGCTTCTCCTGTTTCTGGGCCCCTTACCACACACTCACTCCTGCAGCCTTCCCACTTGCATTTTTAAGTGTCCAGAATTAGGAACAATAGTCACAGCAATGCCAAAGTGTTTTATATAGGTTCAACAAAACTTCAGTTTTTGTACTCTATGCCTCTATGTACAAAGCCCATCAAAAGCTCAGATTTTGGAATTGTACAGTTTACAACCATTGCTTTGTCAAACATTTATGCACAACTTGATTCATAATATCCAACCAGCTCTATTTCTTTGAACTGACATAATGTAGTATCTGGACAGCAGCATCCAAATTACACTTTGCTTTGAATGATGACTTTTTCTTCATTTTAAGTAGAAACTAACTACGCTTGCAAATGCCCAGCAAGGCAGATGAAATAGGACAGCAAAGTATTGCTGATTGTGGAAATCTGAGATGTAGAACAAAATTGCTGGAAATACTCAGCAGGCCGTACAGCATCTATGGAGAAAGAAAGATAAGCAATATTTTAGGTCCACAATCTGTACTAGTTGTGAAGAAAGGTCTTTCTGCATCTGTGTTTCTCTCTATACAGATGCCACCAGGTGCGCTGAGCATTTTGCACATTTCCCATTACTACTGGATTAAAAATAACGCATTGTGATAGCCCTCAAAAAAGCAATCAAGGCTTCTTCAGAACCTCTTATTCCCCTTCAGTAAGAAACCCAACAGCAGTAGCATTAGATCTAGTTTGGTGAAACATTAAACATGAATTTCAAAAAATGCTAAAAATATAAAGTAAACAACCTTAATAGAAGAAAGTCAAAGCAATAAATTAATAATTCTAAAAGATGAATAACAGATACAAATGAGCACTTAAGTATGATCATTAAAACTGCCAAACAGCAAAGCTTACTAATAAATGACTTTTTGTCTCATCACTGACAAAGTAGTGCAAGAGGGAGACTGGATCCCAAACCATGTCACTGGGGAAGGGCAGGGGACCGAGGCCAAGGAGTGGAGTTAGGTTTAACTTGCATTCACCTCTGGTGGTGCTCAGGTGGCCGCTGCTGACAACATATCGTCATGAGTGTTGGCGAATGTGTGCCTGAACGCGCGTGTGCATATGGCGGGGTGCACACGCATGTCATGCAAAGTATGCATCCACCCCCCTCCCCAACTCACACATTCCACATACTGAGTGGAATCTTCCAGTCCCAAAGGTAGGCAGTATGCTGGTGGAAAAACAACTCTTTGGTGGTCAGCCCAGCTCCTCCTCACCTCCTCAACACATCAATAGAACTGAGAACCAGACGTGAACACAAGAGGAATTGTCATGTGCAAGAGAAGCCAGGGAACTAGTTTTTATTTTTATGATTCTTTCATTTGTGGTAGTAAATCTTGAGGAAGAACTGTGATTTTATTGTTAAAATCTTCATCAATACTACGCTGCCTAACATATTACCATCCCTAAAATAAACAAAAGCCATCCAACGTTCCTGCTCCTCTGATGCTGCCTGCTGTGTTCCTCCAGATCCACATGGTGTTGTCTCTGACTCCAGCACCTGCAGTTCTTGCTATCTCAAAGCCATCCAAGTATGTGTTTTAAATTTATTGTCCTTCTTTGCTGACTATCCCTGTGATCACCAAGCCACCCAACTTTCTACGTGTAAATTTGTTCAAATTGTGGGCGAACATGTAAGATTCTTGCACTGATGGTCCCTGCCATTTTAAGCATCAGAATAGAGGGACCAGAAGCATGGATTTCTCTAGAGCTGATAAAGATGCATCACAATTCATGGGTTTTGGCCAAAGTGACACCCCCAGAAGTTACGGTACCATTGCTATCGAGAGCTGTAGCGTGTTTATCACTATTGGTAAAGGAAAGTCTGGGTCAATGTCACTGACAAGACAAATTCTTAGCTTCATCTCTGATATTGTTGTTGATAGTACAGGCGTAACTGGGATATCCACTTTTCCTGTAATGTGAAAAATTGAGCTCTTAAAACAATGATTAATTACAATAGTGGAAGTACTGTCTGGTTGAAATGCTATTTAACTTTGAGTTTTACCAGTAACTCATTCTTACCTCCAGAAAGAATGATGGCGGCCACAAAGAGAGCCAAATCACTATCATCCAACTCTAGTGCATTGAACTTCATGGCAAACTCAAACTTGGGTTCCATTATCTCATTAAAAGGTTTCCGCAGACTTTTTAAGAACTCTCGGGTCATAAAGCCGTTCCCATAAGCTACCAGCAGCCCATCTTTGTTCATAATGGATGCCAACATGGCAAATATGGCTTCATAAACTCCATATTTTAACAGGGTCACTTGATCATTGAGGTCAAGGTTTATAAATTCAGGGATACATTTGGCAAATTCTGTCAGTTCTCTTACTGTTTCCACAGACGTACACTGGCAGCGTTGAAAGATTCTGACTTCAGCTTCTTTGTTCTGGATGCCGTTTACTGCTTGTTTTGATACTAGGTTCTCTTCTGCTAGACGTAATGTTTCCATATCATGAATGACAAATGGCTGTAAATTTTATATTCAATAAATTAGTAAATATTAAAACATTGTTCTATACAACATACTCAGAAGAAAATTAAACTTCATTTCAGTTCTTTCTACTTAATTTTCCCAAACTTGCCTGTGTTTTAATTTGCTCCAAATCCTTTTTACTCATCACCTCTGCACTTGTTAAACATTGGTTTTTAGTTAAGCATTATCTCAATTTCAAAATTAGAATTTTTTAGTTCCATGGCCCAACTGCTACCTATTTCTGAGATAGTAGGAACTGCCGATGCTGGAGAATCTGAGATAACAAGGTGTAGAGCTGGATGAACACAGCAGGCCAAGCAGCATCAGAGGAGCAGGAAAGCTGACGTTTCAGGTCTGGACCCTTCTTCAGAAATGGGGGAGGGGAAGGGGATTCTGAAATAAATAAAGAGAGAGAGGGGGAGGCGGATCAAAGATGGATAAAGGAGCAGATAGGTGGAGAGGAGACGGACAGGTCAAGGAGGCGGGGATGGACCCAGTAAAGGTGAGTGTAGGTGGGGAGTTAGGGTGAGGGTTGGTCAGTCAAGGGAAGATGGACAGATCAAGGAGGTGGGGATGAGGCTGACAGGTAGGAGGTGGGGGTGGGGGTTGAGGTGGGAGGAGTCGATAGGTGGGAGAAAGGACGGACACAGTTAGGGAGGCGGGGACGAGCTGGGCTGGTTTTGGGATGAGGTCGGAGGTGGGGAGATTTTGAAGCTTGTGAAGTCCACACTGATACCATTGGGCTGCAGGGTTCCCAAGCGAAATATGAGGTGCTGTTCCTGCAACCTTCGGGTGGCATCGTTGTGGCACTGGAGAAGCCCCAGGATGGACATGTCGTCCAAGAAGTGGGAGGGGGAGTTGAAGTGGTTTGCGACTGGGAGGTTTAGTCATTTGTCGCGAACCAAGCGTAGGTGTTCCACAAAGCGGTCCCCAAGCCTCCACTTGGTCACCTATTTCTGTAGTCTCCAACAACTCTACGATCCTCAGATATCTGCACTGTTCCAAATCTGACCTCCTAAGCTTGCTGGGTTTTAATATCAAATGAGCATTGGCAACCACATTTCAGTTTTCCAGATCCTGAGTTTTGAAATTCCAGCTCTTGCCCACTCTACCTCACTAATTTTCTTCTATAGTGTATCCCTTAAAAACTACTTTGTTGACCACATTTTTGGAGATTTGCCTTAAACTTATGTGGCTTAATATTAAAAAAAAATGTTAGACAACATCCCATAAAAGCTATTTTACTAAGAACATAACGAATAGAAAGAATAGACCATATGGCCCCTTCCTTGTATTGAATGGCAGAGCAAGCTGAATCATACATAAGACCACAAGATGTAGGGTCAGAAGCAGGTCATTCAGCCCATTAGACGAGCTCCACCATTCAATTAGGTCATGGCTGATCTGATAGTCCTCAACTCCACTTCCCTGCCTCATTTTTAACAGGACCATTTTCAGTTTTTACTTAAGGGCAAATAAATGCGTTATTAAATTGAATAAAGAAACTGCAAAATAAGCGTTCACTTTCTTCACACTGAGTGTATTTACTGGAAGGAATAGCTCTTACAGAATCAAAAAAATTATAAGTACATGTAGGAAAAAGATATAAGTGGAAAACACCATCAAGCCCACTGGATGGTGAGTCGGCCGATATTACCAATTTGCAAAAAAAAAAAATCAAGATGAGGAGTTTGGATAAAGAAAATTAAAAGATAAATTCGGATTAAAAAATGTGTATCAACTTTGTCCTTCAACTCTTTCAATCCATCAGGAACAAACATAATGACTGTGAAATGATCATGGGTTTTAGCATCTATGCTTTAATTAGAAGAATAAACCTCCGCAGTGAGGTAACAAAATAGAGTTTAAATCCTCAAGTGTTCACAATGCTGCAAATATACTGAATGTCACTTATAAATGTATTTTAAGTTATCACATACTCAACTTGTTCAAAAATTTGATGTGGAATCATAAGTATTTTGTTTCTTGAATTTCCATGCTACAGGACTTTAAAGAAACAAGTTACGATGAACCTTTGAATTCTGTGCACCAATTCTTGCCTCATTTTCTTTTCATCATATATCCAGCACAGCGGGTATGGCAGGCAGAAGAAAAGGAAGATTGATATGAGGAAAAGGATAAAGTATCAAGAGTTTCTGGAGGATAATAATGACGATGATGATGCTGACAATGATTATCTCACCCAAAACAAGCAAATACTATTGCTAACTGCCCCTTCCTCTATTTCATCCTGTGTCTTCTTCCTTCTGTATCCCCCATAAACAAAACCAAAATGGAGTACAACACTATATGAACAATTGGATGGACTGATTATCTTAGTGAAAATGTACTTTTATGACATTCAAGACAAAATTTTACAATATAATGAAATATTTTAAAACATTAAATTTAATGTGGTCATTCATTTTGACAGGGAGAATTAGGCAAGGAATTTAAAATAAAAAATACGATTCTTAAGGCATTTGAGGTCAGAGGGATCTTGGGATATGTACAGAGTTGTTAAGGTGATAGAGGAGATTGAGAAAATAACAAAACATACAGGACCCTGTGATTTATAAATAAGGCCATAAATTACAAAAAAAACTGGAAAGTAGTAATGAACCTGTAGAACAGTAGTTGTGCCTCAACTGCAGTGCAGCGTCCAATTCCAGGCACATTACTTTAGGAAGGATGTGAAGGCATTAGAGGCAATGCAGAAAAAACACTAGAATAGTTCCAGGGAGGAGGAACATCAGTTAATTGGACAAATTAAAAATGCTTGTGCTATTCTTGAAACACAGAAGAGATATGATGGAGGCATACAAATTCATGAGATATCTAGACAAGTACATAGAAACCACTCTGGCAGAAGAGTCAAATAGACCAGAGAAAACTGAAGATAATTTGCAAAAGCAGCAAGAGAAAGATGAGGAAATGAAAGATTTTACTCAGTGAATGGTTAGGAGCTGGACTGCAATACCCGAAAGTGTGGGTGGGGGGCAGATTCAATGAAGTCTTCAAAACAAAATTGGATAATCCGAAAATAAAAAAAAGTTAGAGGAAAAAGAACAGTGGAGTAGAACTAGGTGCATTGATCTTGCAGAGGGCCAAGGGCTAAATGACTTCTTGCCTGTAATCATTTTCTGAATATGATTGTATAACAGTCCTTTACAAATGCAGAATTCAACATTAACGATGACAGGCACTGTGAAAGTGCGTTGATTTCAGCAAAGATGATAAACCATCAAACAATGAAATACTGAAAGAATGAATATTGAATTCAAAGACTGTCAAACCTTTTGTCAAATTTGATGCAATATATGTAAACTACATCTGACAAAAATAAAAGAAATGAAAACTAATCTAAGATCTTATTCTCATGGAGGATATTGGAGAAAGAATAAGAAAACATGCTCACATAGCTGCATTGAGACACCAAATTCTTTACACCCACTTTAATTACTGTATTTATGAATAAAGAAGTCAAATTAATGAGGAGGAAATACAAATACTTACTGGGATATTAGCTTTTCCTGTCAAAATGGCTCTAGCTTTGGACTTGTTCATGTTAAAATTCTTCAGGTAAGACTCATACATGTGTTTTGCAAGACATTTTAGGTCAGCCATCTGTGAATTCTGTACGTCTTGCTCTAGAGTTAGAATCTCTGCTTTTAATTTCTCCTTTTCAGATTGAGGCATTCTACCAAAACGGATAGCTGTGAAGGTAGGAAAAAAAATTAATTTTTATCCTTCAATTCAAGTTGAGACTCTTATCCTGCTCACCCCACTTCAATTTACACTAACACAAAAACTCAGTCTTTCCTTTCTGATGTTCATACTGGCACTTTTCTTCTTCCTTTTCTCAAGGTTTTTTTTTCACCTCATTCACTTTGCCTTTTTTCCCCCCTCTGCTTTACTGTACTTCATCCACTTTTTTTCAGCGCCATCTCCACAGTCCTCCTCAAAATATCCCCAATCATTCCCAGTCTTTCCCAACACTGCTTCTGGATCTCACATTATAGTCAACACCATTCCTTGAGTTCTGTGTCTCGTTAATCTCTAAGCAATAGAATGCAACTGTGTGAAAATTGCTGAAAATCACTACAATTTGTACCTATAGCACATGGTAGGTTTCAGGGGCTCAGAATCACAACAGCAGGTTGCAATGCTCACTTTCATTCACAATATGAACAAGCACTAAGTGACTTAACGTTAACTTTGATTGACATATATGGAAATGCAATAAAAACAGAATGTGCTGGAGAAACTCAGGTCTGGCAGTGTGTGGAGAAAGAGAGAAAAACAAAGTTAATGTTTTGAGTACAATGATTCTTCTTTGCAACTGAAAGAGGCAAGAAAATAATGGTTTCCATGCTGCTGACAAAAGGAACAGGGCACAAATAGAACAGATGGTGAAGTGGTCCAGATCAAAAGGCAAAAGCAGTAGTCATTGTAGTGGAGATCATGTGATGGCACAGAAAGTGGTTGAGGTCAAAATATTGAATGCTTTCAAGGAGTGACAAATAGTTCTTAGGGCTGAAGGGATCAAAGATTATGGGAGAAAAAAAAGTCAGAAAGAGAGTACTGAATCGGATGATCAGCCACGATCATATTGAAAGCCATGAAGGCTCAAGGGCCGAATGGCCTACTCCTGCTCCTCTTTTCTATGTTTTAAGATACAGACGAAGAATGGCTGTAAAATAGTACATCTTAATAGCACAAAATAGGTGAGCTCTGCTCAGCACAAACCCAGGCAACCGAGAAATGACTTGGGGCGTGGGTAATCGAATGTAGGAATAGTTTGACCATGAATTGATGTTGCCAGAACTGCTCGATTTCTTCAGTACCTTGTTGTTATTTAAGTTTCAGATCTCCAGCATCTGAAAATGTGAATTGTGAAAAAATGCAACGCTGGAAAGATTATCAGACTACCCGACAGTCAAGTGGGGGAAAGCTAGCAGTATATCATTGGTATATCATCAGTTCTGAGGAAGGATCACCGGACCCGAAACGTTAACTCTTGATTTTTTCCTCACAGATGCTGCCAGACCTACTGAGCTTTTCCAGCAACTTTTGGTTTTGTTCCTGATTTACAGCATCCGCAGACCTTTCGGATTTTATTTAGTATATCGTCACTGTTGGGAGACAGGCATTGGAAAAGACTGGGTATGGTGTATGGGGCTCAGACCGTGGCAGGAAGATGACAGGCAGATCTTGTGGTATAAGTTGGAGGTAGGGGCTTTACAGCCACTATAATGAGAAGGCAGTTGGTAAATACTGAGGCATTATGGTTGGGCATCAGCCAAAATAACAAAAGGAGGTCACATTTGGCAGAATATTTGCTTGAAGAGCTGGAATGAGCATTCCTGTTCTCTCAACTCACAAGCTGTGTTATGAAAAGTGTGTATGTGTTTGACCTGGTTGCCTCAAAATCCCATTAGCTTCCAGTTTTCCTGAGCCTTGGAAAATCTAGTTGGCTAATATTAAGTTTAAAATAAGTCTCCTACTATACTGTAAAAACTTGATTTAAGTATTATAAATTGGTGCCCTACATCTTACATGGGAAACCTATCCTTGTGGATCTTAATATTGACTTCATAAAGACTTCTAAAATCTAAACTCTTGAGCAGCATTACCTTTTCATGTGAAAAGATGATTCAAGTTGCAGATAGTATAAGCAAACTCTTATGTTCTCTTCTTACCCAAAAACAGTGCGCCTTTTTCATTTCAGATGCCTAAGATCTGGAAACTTTCCCATCAGTGGGGGAAGAGGAAAATGACAGTGTCGATGAAGAGGCACTGTCACTCAATCTGACACCAGCAACCACTAGCTGCAGATCAGACGTTGTGCATACTTCGGAATCCAGTAAAGGGAAGGGATCCGTATATGTTGAAGTATATGGCACAAGTGAGTGAGAGCAAAGGATACCACAAGGTCCAGCTCGTAAGAGGGCAGGTTTGGATGCTAGTTCTACAGTAAAAAGCTCGGACAAGGAACTTTGATGATCAAACTAAAGTGTGCACATAAATAAATAGTTGATGCACCGAGAATACTAGAAAAGGCCAGATCTCAATGTCTCAATGTCAAGAAACATTTTAGGTGCACAACACTAGTTTGGGTTAGGGCTTCACATAGGGTTCATTCTTTCTAATCAACAATGCTGTGGAACCAATCATGATTCAATGGCTGGTAGCTAGTGTTAAACTGCTAAATGCAGAACAGAAGCAGGAGTATGCTACTTAGCCCCTCAAGTCTGTGCCATCATTTCATGAGATCATGACTGATGTGCGACTCAACTCCATATACTACCTTCGTTCTATACCCCTTAAACATTTGATGAACAAAAGCATCCAATAATGGATCTAACATCAATTGCCTTCATGGAACAGCGTTCCAAACTTCTATACCTATTTGTACAAGAATAGTGCCAGGAATGAGAAACCTCAGTTATGTGGATAGATTGAAGAAATTGGGGCTGCTTCTGATTAGAAATCTAAAGTATAGTCTTAGAGTCTTCACTTACCATTGTGTGACATTCCCACAGCAAGGCACTTCTGAAAACGACAGCACTGGCATTTGTTGCGGTTCTTTTTTTGAATCTTACAGTTGCGTTCACACTGATCGTAATCCAATTTCAATCGTATCGTTCTCCTAAAAAAACCCTACAAAATAAAAATCCCAGTGGCAATTACAGAGCAACCGGATTCTAGTGGAATACAAGATCTTGGTTTAAATGATACATTAATATAGGAACAGGGTGTTTATCAAGATTACTATTGAAGCATGACATATTAGGTTAGGACAGACCTGAATTTTTTTAAAAATAAGAATCTATTTCAATATACTGAAGGAGCAAAACTATGTTGTCAAGGATGAAATCGCAATAATACATCCATGCTAAAAACTAAAAAGCTCAACCAAGCTTTTCCCAACCCTATGTTACCTCTGGTGTCTCTTCCTATTTCTCATCAACGTGTTGGCCCTTGAGGACTTCAATTGAAAATATTGAGTTTCCATGCGTAAAGTGACAACACCCAGCTCTCTCAACCCTTCCACTGTCTCGAAACTATTAAACTGCTTATGTACTGACACATGCTTTGGAGATATCAGCTGCCTTCATCCTTCGAGGTAGGAGAGGTCATGAATTTAGAAGGTGCTATTAAAGAAGCCTTCGTGAGTTGCTGCAGTGCATCTTGGAAATGCCACCATGCACCAATTGAGGACAGAATGAATGATGAGGATGATAGATAGTATGTAAAGCAAATAGGCTATTTTGCCCTCAATAGTGTCAAATGGGAGTGTTGCTAATGCTGCATTCATCCAGGCAAGTAGAAATTATTTCCTCAGAATCCTAACTCGTGTCTTGTAGGTGATGGACGAACTTCAGACAGTCTGGAGGTGAGTTATGCATGAGGGAATTCCAGCGTCTAATCTACTCTTATGTAGCTACAGGTTGATTCCCTGGCATCATGAAATTGGTAGAATGGTCAGCTATGCCAGTACATGAGGTTACAGATTGTGGTTGAATACAATTCTGCTGCTGCCCCCACAGTGCCTCATGGATGCCCAGTTTGGAGATGCTACATCTGTTCAAATTCTATCCCATTCGGCATAGTGACAGGGTCACACAACACGATGAAGGGTATCCTCAATGTTCACGTGGGATGTTTTCCTCCTCAAGTCCTGTGCAGTTGACACTCCCCTGATACAGTGATGGGCAGGCACAATTGCTACAAGTAGACTGGTGAAAACAAGGTCTAGTGCATTTTTTCCTTTAGAATTTAACAAACAGTAGTGGTTGCTACTGAGCCATTCTTGGTGAAGGACATTAAAGTAGTCCATCCAGAGTATACTGTCACCGTCTGTGCTTTCTCTAAGTGGTACTCAACATGGAGAACAGATTCATAAAATCTAACTCTCTCACCAAACAGTTGCACATCTGCCCTAATATTTTCTGATGTGTCTCAGTGTTGTATTTGGTTTTATACATTTGCTGTGAAGTGCAGTGGGACATTTTGTTGAAATGAATGTACTAGATAAATAGTTTGTTGTATCGGACTTTCACTTGATATATGGGAGGTGACGGCCTAGTGGTATTATCACTGGACTGTTAATCCAGACACCCAGGTAATGTTCTGGGGACTGAAAAAACCGCAGATGCTGTAAATCAGGAACAAAAACAAAAGTTGCTGGAAAAGCTCAGCAGGTCTGGCAGCATCTGTG